ATATCTTTGTAGCTATAATGAAGATAAATGATGGAAATGTATTTGCTATATTAAAACTCTTGTACACACTTTTATGTACCTAAAGTATACAATGTGCCAATGTCACTTAGCTGTTTTGAGTGGCTGACGTACCCATCCCAGATCTTCCTTATGTTTCTTGATTTAAGATCTGTCTTTACATAGGCAGTCTTCAGCTACTGGCATTGTTGAGGAAGATTTCCTTTTAATGTGGGAGCTGCACAGTTGGCAGTGCATCTTAATTCAGCATTAGTGCTGATAAAATGTACTTCGAAGCACATAGTGTAAATGGCCACTTCTTAATGTTTCATGCAGAAATGGTAGAACTGGTGGTGGTGACTTTTCTGATACACTGGGGGAAATAAATGTGTTGTGCACAGGTACCATAGAGGACAATGTCCAATTACTTCTATACTTGGAACCTTGTCCCAGCAAAACAGTACATTTTAAACAAAGTAATTCCACTCATGTTTTGGTCTCTCAGTTGATGATACCAATATATCTATTTTCTTCTCCTCCCTCTAAGGATTGACTTGAAATATATTTGTCCAATGCAAAACATGAAAGATACAAACAAGTGGTCTTTGGGACAATATTTTCTTTTTGAATCTGCCTTTGAATCTACCATATGTTTCAGTACTTCCTATTTTCTTTGGATTTTGATTGCCTGACATGACTACCCCTGGATTTGTCTGCAGGTGTTGGTAGGTCTGGCTATAGAAATGAGGCTGGGCATGTGTAGGTGTAGCACTAGATTTTTCTTTTTGATAACTGTATTTCTTTCATAAATATGCTTATGAATGAGCTAAGCTCATAGGAATCCTCTGCACATAAAAATGGAAAGTCTGGATTTGAACTGGAACAGCTGCTGAGTTGCATGAGTAGCGCAGGAAAGCATCATTTTAAACTAAAGGTGGATTTAAGTATTATAGTGCATTTTCTTCAGGATTATGATGTTAGTAATATTTATTTCTAACCATGAATTTTTTTTCGTTCATATAAATGTTCAATGTTCTTTTAAGCTTTACTATGTGGTTAAAAGTTAATGTATTCTTGGGGCAGCAACTTCCATATGTACTGCTTTACTTTGTTTTACCTGTGTTTTGATCTGGGGAAAGCAGAAGCTCTCAGTCTGCCCAAATGTTCTGGGGTTTTTTCATTATTGCTACTAATGAAGCTACAGTCTTTTTTCCTCTGTCTCTCCTTTCTGGAGGTTTTTCGTGATTCAAATTACTTTTTGCCACCCTTTGCACTTCCCACTCTTGTACTTGCACTTTCTAGAGAGGGATGATTGGTATGCAAATGATGGCATTGAATTTATCTCTGGGTAGTAGGAGTGATGGAAATAATAGGAGAACTCCTCTGTATGAATTCTAATACTTCATTTTAGTTACAACTTCTTAAGACACCCAGATCCCCTTCCTAATCTAGTACAATATATTTAGAGCTCTGTAGGGTACAGGTTTCAAATCTTCTCTCTAAAGTGTATTACTATAAAATCTGACACGAAATTTATCTGCTGTTGTGATACTCACTTCCTTGTGTGCATAGGTCTGCACGGCCCTGTGTAGACACGCAAGGTAGCTTTTAGGAGGTGGTGCTGCTGGTAGAAAACTTCAGTTGTCACGGATTAAGGTGTTGCATGGTGTTTAGTATAACTCTGCCTGAGATCCAAACTAGCCCAGGATATATATAGTAAGGATGCATTGGTTTTACTGTCAGAGCCTTTTTTTTTTTAAAGCCTTTTCCTATTCTGTGGTTCATTTTCTATCTGTCTGTCCCTAAATACCTGTTTGAGACTGTACTGTATACAACATCACTGAAAGACAGAGATGAGTAGAAGTGGAGACACCATAAACCTGCTTTGTTGCTAAAACCAGTGTATTTTGTAACTGCACTCATTTTATCTTGGAGAGGTTTGGACTGTGGTGGACATTGGGGAGGTAAAAGGAGTGTCTGTCACCTAAGTAATTGTTTGTCACTTGCATATTGCATTGTTTCTTTTCTTAATGAATAGTTATATTTCCAAGATTCTCCACCTGAGCTTTAAAGCACAGGTAAATATTTGGCCAGGACAAAAATATTGCCATATAATTATTTTTTCTTTTGCTGTTCATTCATACATTTCCACTTGCTAGTGTGCGTTATTTGTTTTGAACCATTAAACATCAGCATCCATCCATCCAGTGTCTGTGCAGAGTGGGAACATGTATTGACTTAGCTGTACTTGAAAATAACACTGTTAAAGCTGTTATGGAAAACTGAGCGGTTTTCCAATGCTGACTGTGTAAAACTACTCCTGGAGAAGCCATCACAACTCCATCCCTACATAGGACAGATCTCTAAGGGGCTTCATTCCAGAGTCCATTCTGCAATTCAGCTTGTATCTGGAGGACACAGGAAAAAACTTCCTATGATTCTGAAGGGTGGTTTTTTTAAGGAAAATAAATTTAAAATGTTGGCTAAATAGCACTTAACCCAAAAATATATTTCCAGCTCCTATATTCGATTCAATTGTAGTATTTGCATGGCACAAACTATTGAGTGTTGTTACTAAAAATCTAATGTACAAATAAATTCTGGCTTTAAAGATGTGTCAAAGTCAAGTCCCTGAAGTGACAAATATTAAGTATTTCTCACTTAGAAATACTTACCAGTGTAGAACATCAATGCTTCTCATATTTTCAATTAAACTTCAAAAGCCTTTGTAAATTTGCACATATAAATAATATGGTCTGAAACTCAGAAATGAGAAAATGGACATTGACCAATGATAGTAAGGAGAACTCGTTACTGGAGCTGAAACAATAGTAAAAGACAACTCTCTCCTTTAAATACTTGAACAGGAAAACATTTTTCCTGGGGCTTGAAAATCCTTTTACTACATGCTTAGGAAAACTATATGGAAATACTTTTCTTGCTCCTAAGTCCGTTTAATTCATACAGCAAGGCTAAGGGTAAATTTAGAGAAAAGTTCTTCTCAGAAACATCGCACTAGGAAAGGGATTTTTCTGCTGTTAAGAAGGAGAGACAGTGGGAGGATGGATGCAGCAGGAATTTTGCTGTTTTGTCAAACCAGAATGTCTTCTGCAAACTAAGGAGATGCTTCAATCAACTGGCTTTACCAAAGAACTTGAGACACTTCATTTTTTTTTTTTTATTAGTTGTCATTCTTTGACATGATGAATACTTACAGCAGTATGTTAAAAAAGATACAGTTAAGTCTCTTGGCATCACTGCATAGCAGTCACAGCATTTTCACACAATCTAGTGCTTCCTTTCAGAATGATGCATATGGCATATATACGCACATACGGGGGCTGATTCTTGGTCCCAGTGAAGTTGAGGGGACCAGTGCTTGGCCCAAAGAGTTGTCTAAGATATGCGAATATGTATATATAAAATGCTTTACAATAAACATGACATATACAATCTTGAATTCAAAGATAAGCAGAATATATTTTACATCCAAGTCAAACTTATGCTCTGCACTTAAAAGTTTATGTACCTAAAATATTGGATGGATTATAGAAACAAATAATAGAGTAACAGTTTGCACCAATCAGAGTTATTTGAATACATATTCATGGCATGAAACTTGCCTTGTGGTTTTGCTTTGTTTCTGTTTGGGGTGGCTCTTTTTGAATTTGTAGGATCTTAATTTAAATTTAATTATTGATTTTTGTGGGCCATGAGTGGGGGATGGTGGTATCAGGAGAGGAATGGGCATATTTTATAGACAACTCAGCTGAGTGACTTAAAATATCAGGCTATAAATTATGGCTGGTACCCTGGCTGGTACCTGAAACTAAAATTGTAGCTACTTGAGTGTTTCTCCTTTCTTAGGAGAATCCATTTGGAAGGGCTGGTGTGCATTTTGTGTCTAATTTGACAGAAACTTTTAACAGAAATTTCAACCACAGACTGGAAAAGCTGGTAAGATAGCTATGCAGTGGGCATATCTTATTTACTGTGGTAACAGCTTTCTCTGCTACTAATCATTGGGGAGGCCTTGGTTTCCTTCATGAAAATCACAAGTTTATACAAAAATAATTGACCTGTGTTGTAGATTAGGTTAGATACAACGGCAGATCACGTGTTTTGTTTTTTTCTTTTTCCTCCATAGACTCTACTTCATTTCAGCTACTCCTCTCTCTGTTCCTTTATTCCAAAGGTACATGTTTTTAGTAGTCCTTTTAGCTGGTGGCTGGACTGTTGACACTTAAAAACCCAAAGGTAAGTAAAATCTTAAATTATTGACAATGCATACGTATGCATTATTTTAACCAGCCTAAAATTTTCACTTATCACTTATCATTACTTATTATTGTTCTTAATTATACAAAATTTCTCTTTGATGGCATGAAATCTTCATTTAAAGAAACTAGATTTTATTCAAATGAAATTGCAATTGTGGGCCAGTTTTCTTTTTCTTTCCATATATGGAAACCTTAACTCAGTTTAAAAAAACCTTCAAAATCTTTTACCTGCACTGGCCCAGTAAGAAGGAAAAACACTATACAAAGGCTTTCTGTAAAGTGGCTAATGGGGCTGACAACACAGAAATCTGTATTATCTGCATAGTTTTTCCATTCTGTGCATCAGCATTCTGTTGGCATCCTGGGGAGAAAACCTGGTGCAGAAATGCCCTCCAAACTACAGAATACCAAGTGTGTATCACAACCACATATACTGAACACTGGTGTTGTTGCATTGGCTGTTATCGGTCATTGTTTGGCTTCTAAGGGAAATCAGATGGTAGCACTTTGCATCACAGACCCCGGTGAATTTGGCTGCCAGGAATCTGCTGCCAGAGCCTAACTGTTCAGCACACCTCTGTCTGGAACACCTGAGGCAAACTGGCCAGACCAAAATTTGTGTAATGGGTTTGGCTCACAAGTACAGAAGTATTGCTGGAGCCACCGTGAACCTATTTCAAGCACTATGTCATTAGACAAGGTGACTGATATCTAGCAGGTATGAAATCTAGCAAATCAGTGCGCCAAAATCCCCCAGAATTTTCAGAGCAGCTTTTTAAAGTTAAAAAGTTTTAGCTTGGTAAGAGCAAACTTGTAATGGACTCTGCAGGCTCCACTTGTAGAAAAGGGCTTGAGTTTAATGTAGCTGTAACAAAATTTCATTTCTACCTGCTGGACCTATTTTCTGGAAGCTCTTTGGAAACAGCTCAACAATGTCTCTGTCAAGAGCTTTTTATGCTGCTAGACACGGTGTTTGTTTAACTAAATTTCAGAACATTATAAAAAATTTCTTTGAACTAGAAGGAAAAGGGCTTTCGTTTCTTAGTAAAAAGACAAAACAAGGGAAATTATATCCTTTTGTATGTACTTAAGTGCTTCTAAGCAGCACATTACACTGCTTGTGTAATGTTCTAATAATTGTCCTAAATCTGTCAGAAGGAAAGATACACCTAAAGAGCTGCAAAATGGTGATGCTTCTGCCCCTACCATCAGGTGGTTAAGAAGAAATTGTGTCCTGTAGTTAGAAACAATTTAATTATATTACAACTCCCTCTCTCTCTCTCTTTGCTTGCTGTGGTCCTTCTAATATGTGAGTCTCATTTAGAAGTGGGAGGAAGAAAGAGATTTTCTACCTTATGGTTTTACCTACATATGGTTATACCTTATGTAACAGTAGAGGGGGAAGAAAAACACCATTCTTGGAGTGCTTTGTGTTCTCACAGTGTTTTCCACCCTCCTACTTCACTGGGTTTCAGCTTCTTTCTCTGAAGATACACACAAAGAATTAGTAGAGTAAAACATACTTTACTAAAACTTACGCTTTTTATTTTCCTTTAACATATTAGTCACCTTCTGAGCATGAACTTTCTCTTATCAAGTCAATATCCCCTGTCATTGAGAAAAATCTATTATATCTCCCCTTGCACTTTTTTGAGTAAATATCTTTCTCAAACACTGACTTAAATAGCTCTTTCTTTGTTGGCCTCTTCAAGGTATTCACATCCAAACATGATTATATGGCCATATCTGCTAGTTTTTTTGGAAAACAGCTATACAGATTTGATGTATTGAGCGTTTAGAACACTATACTTCACCTGAATGCAGTTATTTTTACTGGGGGCAGAGGAGAAGGGGACTACCACTTGAGAATACAATCTCATTGAAATGGTGGAAGCTTAAGTTTTATAAAGACTTTTCAACTGAGGTTGTTTAGGGCATAATTAAGGCCATGTATCTTTCACAAACACAAGATTATAGAAAATTCCTCAGCAACTATGACAGTTAAGAGATTTTTCTTAATAGTCTGACTGCAACAGATTTTTTTCCTTCATTGACTTAGACCAACCTAAAAGTCAGTTGAAGTATTATTTAAATTACAAGAAAAATACAAATGCATTTTGACGCTGGCTAGCTAAGGAGGGAATGGGGGGGGAAAAATCAGCTACACTGCAACATCTCTTGAGAAAACAACTGGACTCCAGAATTACTGAATGTCGTGCTTTGTAGACCACTAAGCTATTTAGTAAAAATTCACACTCTTGAATAAATGGTAATCAGGTTGAACTGTCAAATCATGTGGTGTTGCTGTGGGGCTCAGGTTTTTTTGAACTTCAGGCTCTGTGAAACATTTGCCTAGACCAAATGTGCAAGGTGCCATGGATTAACAACATGGACCCATATGGAATGTGTTTGAAGTTTTCAAGAAGTTATCCTGCTGGACTTCATTCCTTAATGACCTTTGATACACCTTGGATAGTGGAAAGGCAGTTCAGAATCGTATCTTGTAATCATATGATTTTGGCAGCTATGAAGGATGCTAAAAGTTAAGGCTTTTATCCACAAACAATGGTGTATATTAATAAACTCTATACCATATTTACAAATGCTTTCTCTTGTATTAAAACTAACAGTATTCTGTTCACAGTGCCAATGTTTTTACAGGTAGCAATCCCACAGTACTCCAGTATTTTGGCATGGGAATCAGTAGCGCTTTGTATTTACAGAAAATATACACATATGAATATAAACAGGTTACTTGAAACAGTACTCAAAAGATAGATCTGTTCATGTTTCAAAGGTTTAGACTGTACTACACCTTCCCTTTCAGTTGCGAGGGAATACTGTTCCTTGCAATGAGAAGATGCCTGTCTTTTATCCAAAGTGGCATAAAAATGATTACCAAAACGAGCCTTGTTACACTGGAGGCATGTATACAGAGAGTAACTTCAGTCCAAGGTTTTTAGATCTGTTGTTTAGTGCACAGAATACAAAAGTTAAAAAGGTTTTTGTTTTAATTACTAAAACAACCAGACTCTCTCTGCCCTCTGTGAGCACCGTCTGTCAGCCTGCGTCCTCTGGATGCTGAAGATGCTGGTGGTTTAATGTGCAGCCCAGCTGCCAGCCTGGAACATGTGTGGTGCTCTGGGCCTAAATACATATGTCACAGTATGACTTGTGGTAAATGAATATATAACCAAGAGTGCCTCTCTGTCTCCCCTGCTCTCTCAGGAATCCTCCCTACTTCACGGCAGCCGTAACTGCTGCTGACTGGGAGTCCGCAATCGGACAGTTCGTGGTCAGGAGTGACGGATGACATCACGCATGCGCAGGACGAAGAGAGGGGAGAGGAATGGAACGTGAGGATCAGAAAGAAACCCAGCAGAACCTTGGGCCTGTTGGTGAGGACCCTTACAGCTTCTGCTTTGCCATTTCTTCCCTTTGCACGGTCTCGACAACAGGCTCCTGGCTACTCGGGATCTTACTTGCTGCTGTGACCAAGACGGAGATAGCAGTGCTATAAGGAAAAGTGCAAAGCTGCCACTAGGGAGTCTCTTCTTCATTTAAAGTCTGTTCCTGGCTGCCAGTCACTTGACCTGAGTGGTCATTGCTCCTACTACTGCTGTGTTGCTTGTGGAGCAAGCTTCTCCACTTGGCCTTGTTCCTCCTGAGATGGTTTAGCATATTTTCCGATAGGGGAGTATCGCCTGTAAACTGGGCCCACCTCTCAAAGAGTGGCTCAACGATGTATGTCATGAACCCTGGGGAAACATACAAGGAACACCTGGTGAGCAACAAATCCATTCACAGAGTGCCTTGAGAGCAATGTAAGTGGCAAAAACCCTGATAAGAAATAACAATAAACCCTCAAACAGACATGGAGTCCTTTTGAAATGCACAGCTTTTGACCAGCATACATGACAAGACACGGCTTTATCTGCATGTGTAACAGTAAAATCTGTGAGAGTCAGCATCCCTCTGAGGAGATTTCAGGTAAGAAAGTAACCAGTGTTTAATCCCACATTGGCTGCAATTTTTCTCCATGGACACCTTTTCCCCTATGCAATGACTCCTTTGTCTTTCTGTTGAACATTTGGCTTAGATAGGTTTCTTTTTGAACATTTTAATTTAGAACATGTTTCGTAACTCTTATGGTATCCAAAACTAGAGTGGGGTGGAGCGGGTGGTGGAGAAAAGCTTCTATTTGAGCTTGTGCCATAGTAAGATAAACATGAAGAGAATTAAATACTTACCAATCTGTATGCTTGGTATTGTATCCTTCTGCTGATTACAAAGGGGGCTTATTTCCAGTTCAAATTTTTGTTCTAGATCACCTGCAAAAAAAAAAAAAAAAGAGCAAATATTTTGTGCCACTTTTATCCCTTCTCCAAACCTATGCCACACTCTTACAGTGACTGCAACTGTGTGAATTTGAGCAGTTGGAATCTTCTATCAATGATGACCATGTCAGATGTCTAAATACCTTCCTTTTCTGGACTTTTTAGGTATTAGAGAAACTGATTATCCATACAAAGAAAAATCTAAGAAAGGATAACTTTTGAATGAACATTAAATCTGAGCATGTAAGTGTTCTGAGGACTTTAAAATATACTCCCTCATGTGAAAGACCTTTGAGATGTTCTATAGTTCATTTACTTCATTCACCAGTTCATTTACTCAAATGTCTTCCTAACAGAAAATTGCAGAATATAAATTTTAGAAGAAATGTGCCTCTGGTAGTACTGTAGTGTGAGTTGGCTGGGGGATCTGCTCACTCTAGATGCCACCTCAGATTGCTCCTGATGCAGAACTGGTCAGATTTGGCACTGAGATTATGCTTATAAACAGTCAGTAGAAACTATTCCTGCAGAAACAGCCACACAGGGGAGTCTTCTGTATATAGCTATGACAGGAGATGTTTTTTATGGAGTTGAAGGTAATCAATAGCAATGACCATGTGTACACTGGAGTGGTCACAGAAGACCACAGGCCAGCTGGATTTAAGAATTCAGCAGAAAAACATCTCAGAGTCTCATTTGCTCCTTGTCATCCAGACAACAGTCACTTGTTCTGCTGGAGAGGTGGCATTTCCTTGTGCCTGCAATTACTTCATACAAAGATCGCTATAAGTGAGTAAAATTTTGAGTGTGTTTTTGTTTTTTAAACAAACTCTGTGAGTGCAACACATTCATCCTTTGTGACTGTTAGTTTTCTCTGACAGTGTACAATCCTGATTACTTTCCAGTCTACAGTATGGAAGGGAAGTGAGAGTTAACTGTGTGCAAGCTAAGATGTGCCCCTTCCCCTCAGATAACAAATATTTTGTCCATCTGATTCACTAATAAGAATGTAGTGAGGGTTGGTTAGGTAAAACTTGCCTGTAAGAAAGACTTGCTAGTTCAGGCAAAACACTGCAAAACTCAATAAAGAAATATTTTGCTTTAAGTCCACTGATTTTGTTTAAAAGCTCTTTTCTCCCCACTAACAGTTTTGATTTAAATGCTATTGTGCTACTTGGGTTCTATAGTCCCATATAAAACACCATGTGCATTTTTAAGCCTTGCCTTTCTTCTCTGTGCAGTATGCAATTTCTTCTTAAATGTGAGCGGAGTATTTTCAGTTGTAATTAGCTATTTAGAAAATATCAGGGAAACATTTTTAGCTTCATAAACAGCAAAAGGAACAATTTAGCAAAACTGACACAAAATAACAGTTTGTCATGTGTCCAAATGTGCAGTTTGACTGCCTTCTTCTCATCTACCTTCCAAAACTTTTTTACTGAAAAAAAGTGTCTAACTCCAGTGACATCCTCTCTCTAGGTATTCTGGGTTGAAAATGGTTGACCTGCCTGGCTCAAAATGTATCAACATCTTCTTGTCTTTGAGAAGTAATTTAATTGACAAAAGTAAGATTATCCTTTGTATGGTAAGAACTTAAAATGATGGTCAATTTTCTTATGCTTCAAGTTGCTGTAGAAGGAACTGCATGAATTAGTTTCTGAAAACTTTCATGGTGGGTAAAGTCTTCCAAGCAATTGTAAAACATCATAAGAGAAACTGATCGTTAATGTTGCTTAAACATTAGCCATTGTTGCGGGTTTTTGGAGGAGGTCAAACCACGACAGCCGTTTTCTTGAAGCTTTTTCTTACCAGTTCCAGTTTCATACGAATAAATCAAGTTGCATTACTTACCTTGTCTTCCTAACTGACTTTTAAAACATCTGAAAACAGGTTAAAGTACTTTTCTAAAGAAAGTTTGTTATGAGCTGCTGTAGGGATCAGGTGCTCCCTGAAATGTACCTGGGTTGTATATTTTATTTACTAACAAATGTAGCGTAGATGCACCAGAAGACTAGAAGATCAAGATCTGAGTCTCTATTAAAATGGAATTAGAAATGTTTGATACAAAAAATGTTAAAACTTTGTATCTGTTCCAGAAGGCAGATTAAACAAGGCACTAGTTGTGGTATTCTCAGTATCATCTATAGTTAAAAATCAAAACACGAGAGCTATGGTTTCCAAATGTTAAACTTAGTGCCAAAAAATACCTTCAAGCCCCAGCACTGTGTGTAAAGGGGTAGAGAGGTCTACAAAAACATTTTAAAGTGACAATGCTATCTACATACATGCTATTTATTATTGGGGGGTTTTGTATCACTTAACAGGATTATACAGCCACTAGTGATAGTCAGACCACCGTTTCTGTATATTGTCCCACATGAAATGTTCTTTTTCTCCCTTTCATGCTTCTAACGGCTCTCATAGACTCGGGTGTCTCCTTTCAGAGGTATATTTTAGATGATAGACTAATAAATCTTGAGGGCTGTGGAAAAAGCTTACATTTATAGGAGATGAGAGTGCTTTCTCATCATGGTCCCTCAGTACCACTTCACTGGGGCCCTGTTCTCATGAGCTGGATATTGATTATGCCTTGACTATACATCTGACTAAATAAACCTGCATCTGGCAAGTTGCTTATGTTGCTTCAAAGGCATCAAAGCCAAAGACACTTTACCAGCTGAAACTGACACTTGCTGAAAATTAACTTGCTGACCTATTTGTCCTTGTTATGGAATAACTGTACCAGGTACCAGTTTCAGATGTGGCTTAATTTTGTAATGCAAAATTTCATATGAACTGATAATTTTATTGCGTGCTTTTCTAGCGTTTGTACTGCTTGCTTTCAACTCTCAGGATGCTCTGAACAAAGAATTTAGCAGTGATTAAACTCTGCTGCACCCTGTGTTGTAGCACAGAATGACCTTGCCTGTGCAGATAGAGCCAAATGGTGTAATTACTGTGTTTCAAAAAAAAAACCTGCCTGACTGTGCTCTCTGCAGGGGTTTGAAAACATTTGCAATAGGTTCTAGCCGAGGTTTGGCTTGCATGCTTTGGCCCTTTCAACAGCGTGCTGGGAAGCATGTTTGAACCCTTTCTCTGCATTTGTAGGCAGAAGAATGTGTCATATTTGGGAAACAGTGAGGGTAAGGCTCCCATCAGAGTTGTAGTGGGAGCATGAAAAGCGAGATAAAATATAGTGGACAGTGGTAGGATTTTGGGGCAGTGTGGCCCCGGCACTGCTCCAGCTCAGAAATGCCAATGGTGACCAGAGGGCTCTCAGAGAAGAACCTAGATGTGGCTCTTAAACTGAATTCCAGTGCTGAGGCACAGCAGAGCCCTCTCTCTTGCCTGATGCTCGTAGAGGAACAGCGAGGGCAGAGAAACATTTGCTGCTCTTCTGCCCCTTGCCACGTTTCCAATGAGGCAACATCTCATCCTCAAGGGACATTTCAAGGCAAGGTGGTTATGCTGAATTCTTCCTCTGACTCATCACACAAAACCCAGGGAAATCTGAGGTAAAAGGGGATTGCTGTGAGTCAAAGGGGCTGACCTTGCCGGTAAAACTCTTCACAGACCCGTTCACTCCACTGTTTGCTCAGATCCCAGAGCCGGCAAGGGTTGCAAATGTCAGCACACTTGAGTGCAATCTAAAAGCAAGAAGAAAAGTAGGAGTGAGAAAAGAAGTTACTGTATAGCAATGCTTCAGCAGTAAATCTGCAGTCATGAAACTCCCAGGCCTCACCAGCAATGCTGGGAAGGGTTAAGATTACCTTTTAGAGACTCAGCCTCACCCAAACGTGCCCTTTGAGGAAAGAGCATTTATTTAAGCTGCAGACAAAACTTTCATTCAGCACTCCAATTTACCGTAGTGAGAACAAGAGGAGGGCCAAATTCCAAGGCTGCAAAGTGTTTTGGATATTCCTTGCAAGGAATACGCCAACAAAAGCCTCAGGCTGGCTCCTGCTGACTGCTTGGCTCAGCATCCATGGCTGATGACAAGGAAGGGAAGAGCCAAGCTGGTATATTTGGGCATCATTTCTCTGCAGTCTCAGTGAGTGACCTTGCATCTCACTTCAATTACACTTCATCTTAATGTCTGCACATTTTTGTTTACAAAGCCGAGCATAAGGCTCTCAGCACTGCCCCTGGCTTGGTTTCACTTAGTTAACTAGTACTTTTAAGTGCTTTGCAGGGGAATGCGTACAGGAGGGCAAGAGGTTTTAAAGATCAAGTAACTGTTTCAGAAAAGTAAACCATGTATTAGTCTGCCTGTCTTACTGCCTTGGAACAAGATGTTCATGTCATGAACACAGTCAGTTAGTCTGACAGAAGTCAGAAGTCATTCTGGCACCCATGAAGAAAACATAAGAAACATTTCCTGTATAAATTCAGACCTGTGAACCAGAGGAGGAAAGTCTCCACGTTACTTTTCTCTCTGGATTAAGCCCTAATGTTACTATCTATTACAAGGACCTTTCAGACGTTCTTTAGCTTATTCTGATCAATCAAGATTCCTTGATTTTTTTCTTTTTTTCTTCCACAACTAATCCACCGGATAATTATATCTCATCATGTCAGTTCCCTAGTTATTATTTTCAAGAAAGTACATAAGAAACCTTTTTGCCACAGTTGAGAACTGTAATTCCTCTGCCTTTGGCATTTGCACAACTTTCTTGCCTAATCTGTCCAGAAATATAATAAACCTGTCATCCTGCCCTGCATGGTCTATGCAGGAATCTGACAGATGACTGTTTGATGCAGGACAGGTGAGCAGGAGGGGGAAGAATTACCAGATCAGCACTTCTTTTCTTGCAACAGTAAGGAACTGTAACTTAGACAAAAGGAAAACATGTAGATATTTGTTTTATAAATGATAATAATTACTTCAACTTCTTTATGGACTTAAGAATGAAATTAATGTAATTTCTCCAAAGAAGCAAGTATATGCAGCTACTTTAATCACGATAATGCTTTAATAGGTCGAGGTTTATTCTGAAGAGTCTGCTAATGACTGCAGCTTAACTGGAAGAAACAGTGTGAATCTATTTCATTTTTTAATAAAGCATGGTTTTCTCATTAGCTAGGTAGATGCTCTAGAGAAGCATCTGCTGCCATGGCAACAGCTGTCTCTGCAGAGGCAGTTCCTGAGTGTCCATCACAGGAACAGGACTTGGACACCTGATGTCATGCTGTGCTGGAAAACACACCAATGAGGGGGCTCTCCTGCATGGTGCTAGAAAATAACACCAGTGGAGAGAGAGACACTACAATCAAAGCATTACCTGGCAACAGAAGCAGTGTTCTGGAAATAAAATAATTACTAGCTTATCTTCATTTCTTAGCATTTGACACACTCCTCTCTCTGTTGCATTCACAACTTTTTAACTCAAGGAAATTACAAAAGGAAATACTGGAGGCACTTATGCTTGCCTTACATGGCAGGTGGCAGAAGGAAAGTGTTTATGGTAATAGGGAAAGGCTGATGTCCAGACATACCATCATATGCTACTCCAACATATAATAGGAAATACTGTGACTTTAAAAATGAGTAAAAATAATAGTGAAAAAATATCTTTTGAAGTTACCTGAAGCATAAAATGTCTGTCTTGTGCATCCTCCAGCCTCAAATCCTGATTGTCAAGGTGAGATTTCAGACGGATCAAAAACTCATTCTGCCTGTTGATGTCTGTTGCCAAGATCAGGGAGCCCAACTGCTGCTCGATGTCCTGTCTGCAATGGAGGAAAATAAGCCCCTTTAATCATGGAACCGTTGAACATTAATAGCTCAAAACAACCTGCTACGGATCACAGCTAGCATAAAGCTTCCTCTCTCTTTATGGATCCAGTGTGATCTGTTTGGTCAGTCTCTGCTGAGTACAACCATTCTACCTGCCTAAATGGGTTCAAGAGGAATAGATAATGTAGACAAAAAATGCTTGTTGGCACAGGTTGTTCTGAAAGCTTCTGAAAAGTGCTAGGAAAGTACAAAAAATCACCCCAAAACAACAGCATGATGCATCAAGGAAAATGCTCACGTCTTATTTCAGCTGCTCAGAGCTGAGTGGTTAATACTGCAACTTTGAAGTTGCAGTCAAAGTTGTGAAGGTCTGGACTGAAGTCCAACTGAAGGTGGATGCAACTGTCTGATGCAAAGAATTTCTGGAGAGATACAAAGCTTATTGTTGCTTCTAGGTAACTTGTTTATATTCTTGGTAAGGTCACCTGTGATTTAAAATTTAGTATTGCAGTCTGTTCATTGGCTCAACCTCCATTCCTCAGTGGGACTAGTACTGCACAAAACCAGCAGATACAAAGCTAGCATCAACTTGACCAAGGTGCTCATGTTGTTGCTTTTTTTTGCTCCACCCATAAAGGCTGGACCATGCTTTCGCAGGCAGGCATGGAAGTCCTGAGCAGTCTTGATGCTATTTGACCAACTCCTTCAATTTCCTATTTCATGCTTTTTAATCACTAAATCTTTCCATATTCAGTTGGTGCTTCGTAAAATGAAAAATGCCAACAATTGATCTGAAAACCTCCACTTCTGCTGGGCCTCCCCCATGCTCCTGGTGCTGAGAGTAGCCATTCCTGTGCTGCAGAAGCGGCTAGATCTTAGAAAATACTTCTGCTGTATAACTTGTCTCACGATTTCATACTGGCACCAAGTGAGGGCAGGAAGTTCAGCCTATTCTGAAGCCTGGGCCTCTTTGCTAGTATCCTTTTAAGAAGAGTGAAGGAAGCCTTGGACTAGTTTCAGTGATGCATTTCTTCCCGTGGACACTTACGTCACCTCCTTGGGCAGATGGGCGAGGAGCCGTGACTCTCGCAGCATGCCTATTGTAGATCGCCAGTGATGGTTTTCCAGCACTGAAACGTTCTATGGAGGAATAACAGGAATAAATTCAAGGGTTAGGCAGGTATCCATGGTACAGATATGGATTTGCCATATCACATGATACCCAGACCTGGCTGGACATGCTGTAACAGCAGTCTAAAATGGGTGCTTTTTAGCCACATTTGAATTAGAGTAATTGGTCTAGATTTCTATAGTTAAGGACCTTGTACTTCTGGATTTCTTAGCTAAGGTCAGCCCTAGAGCCCCGTCGTTCTACAGTTTTTGAGTCCTGCTGTGGACAGAGGAGCTAATCTCACCTGAGTGGGAGGTAGCTTACATTCTAACAGATTTATTAACAAAAGAATTAAAGCAGGAGTGCAAAATTGTATTTTTGCCTCCTATTAATCCTAGGTTGACTTCTCAACCTCTCAGTTTGAATGCAGAGTGGACAAGAAAAAGAAAACTAAACTGCCAAATTTCCCTTGAAGTCAGGGAACTGGAAGCTACCTGCAGCTGTTGAGTGAAAGGAGGAGGAGTAGCAGTACTGCTGAGCATTTGCAGGCTTCAGCAACTTAGTCTGCAACAAATTTTGAGTCCTTTTTTTTTTTGGTTCCTTCCAAGAAAGTGGAACCAAAGTTAGGTTGGAAAAAATTGCTAGAGAACAGAAACCCAGCTTTCTAGGTTGTCAGTAAATTATAACAAATTGGATATCTTGTGTCTGATGACTTGAAATTACTATCCTAACACACAATGCCTTTGCCAATCATCACTTTAGTTCACAGAGTACCTTCTATCACCAAATGCCTCAGAAATGTCACTTGTTCAGAAACCTGTTCCCTGGCTTTTGCAGTAGATAAGCACTGGATTAAAAAAAAAAAAAAAAAAAAAACACACAATCAAACCTTTTGAGCAGGTAAACAGAACAAGGACCCCACCCCGTCACTGCAAACAGGGAAATTAGAGTCAGAATCCCTCTTTCCAGCCACTGTTAATCTCTAGCTCCCTTATTCACAGTCTGAGTTGTTGCTGCCATAGTGCTGCCTTTCCTGTAGGGACATGATGCACAGCTTCCACTTTTCCAAGAGGGACTGAACAGTATTTTCTCCTTAAGGCTTCCCCATCCTCCTTTGTAATCCTGTCATATCTAATGACTGTTGAAACATTAAACATTGCCAGTAACCAAGATCCAATTTGCATTTTTATTTTTCTTGAAGCTTCATGCTAAAAATTAGTGCAATGGTGAGTGTGCAATTTGGATTGACTTCCTATTACAGTACTTTCTGTTGCTTTTGAATTCACACAAACAATGTCGCTTTGGTATTTCTCTGGGTTTGTTTGTTTGCTTGTTTGTTTCCCTTACAGGTATGAGGGATACTGGGGAAGGGGAGGAAACAAAGTAAAAGTAACTCCAAAACTTTCAAACCATGCAAAAAATTAAGTCCTTTTCTTAGGAAGAGCTGACAGACTCAGATCTCAACATTAGTTACGCAGTATTGAAATTACTTTTGACAGCAATTCTGTTCATTTGCCAACCTAAATACCCCTTTTCTCCTTTCGCCTAAATACATCAGGATGGACTTCTGCAACCCTACGCTCTGAGCAAGAAAAACAAGGAAATGTAATAGGGCATAACAACAAATTTTTTTTTTCTTTTTTTTCACCTACCCAGTCACAGAGCTGAATCCTGGTCCCAAGAGTCACCCCAAGACCACAGGCTTCCATCTTCCTACCTGAAGGTAAATTAGGCAGACTCCACTTGACTGACACCTTTGCTTTTTGGGCAGGCTTAAACTTGTTTAAGGCAGTGCCTGTGTGCACAGGTTCCTGGGACCCTGGTCTGACTGCACCCTTAAAACATCCCGACAGGGGAGATTCCCCTTGCAGCACCCTGTGACCCCACATGCCTTCCAGCATGGCAGCCTTACTTGCTGTGAGGAGCTGCTTCACCAGCACCAACCTCAACCAGGAAATGACGCTCCATGGATGCAGTTGCTCTTTGGCCATACTGAAGGCCAGCCAGAACAGGGCTGAACACACAGGCATCTGAGAACTTTCCTGCATCCAATTAATAGTTACTCAAAGGCAAAAGCAAACTCAGGTAATCATCCCAGAGTATTTCCACTTCTGTAAGTTGCCTGCTGCTACAGCAGGAACCTTAAACTGACACTGCTGCACTGTCTAGTTTCCCACGCTGAATTTACACAGAGGAGGGAAAAGTAAAGGTCAAGTTAACAAGCAGTAACTGAGCATGAAGTCATATGACTCTCCGCTTAAATGTAAGGAGCCAGAATCCCTGAAGCAGCTGCCAACAATCAGTAGAGCCAGCTATTCCACCTAGGAACACACTACTGCCTTATTAAAACTAATTGCCATGAGCTATCGGATCACCTAGGCTGGTGGGGAGATGTCCCATGCACAGAAAAGTCTGCGTGCTGGTTTGCAGACTGGAGTTCTCAGCTCTGCTTCACCTGGTGTTTTATTTTTTTTAAAAAATTAATAGCTCAGGTTTGTTTTAGAGGCTGCAGTATGGGACGCTTGTCACATTTACAGTGAATTGCTAAAACACAGACTTCAGGACTGTGAGGAAATAAAACCTGCTTATTTTACTTAAACTATCACAATATCTCCAATCTGTCAGTTTATCTGAGCTGTTTGAACCACTGCACTCAACATATGCATTTGGAAAAGAATAGTAACTTGAAGAGAGGAAGACTTGCTATTAACCAGGTGCAGAGTAAACTGCAATTTTAATTCAAAGTCAAAGTGGATCAGAATTTCTCTCAATCTAGTCATCTATTCTTAGTCATTGAGCAATTGGTTTAACTACACAGTGTTAAATGGACACTTCAATTAGAAATGGTGTTTTTAATTAGAACTGTTATAACTGATGCCCAAAATGTACCTTCCTATTTCCAAGCTTATATACATCTATATTAAAGTTGTAAAGTGTTCTTTCATAGTTTTCTGAAACCTGTTTTGTTCTACAGAGGCTGTATGTAATCTTTCCATATTTCTAAACTCTTGTCCTTCATTTAAAAGCCAATGAAAGTTAGAAGCAAAGTCTGCATCACATAACAAGGAATGCTGGTGTGCTCCTCACAGGAGAACTACGTGACCTCCTGACCCCTTACAGTCACCTTCTACACTCTCAACTGTCTTTGTAATACTGGAGACTTGAATGAGGCACTTTTATTTTTCTGGAAAACTATGGTGCATGCAACCACATGCAACAGACTCTTATGGAAATTACCCTATAGATTACAAAAAAAAAAAAAAAAAGTCTTGTATCATAAAATATGGATTTAGTTTGAAAATAAATATTGAAAGCTCTGAAGTCCTAGGTGATGTCACCTATCTTCCTGAAACACGGCTCTTCTCATATATGCACTTCAGAAGGTGTCAAACAGTGCATCTTTGCCAAATACTGACTCACCTCGTTTTGCAAAACCTTTTCTTCCAAATGTAAAGTTCTAATTTAAATGTCAAACCATCAAAAGCAAAGAGATGCCATACATGGATAAGTCCACTGTCCCAGTGACAGATGACTGCCAGCTACGTTAAAATTTACTTTCGTTTGATCTTTTTTCTGATTAATCCCAGCAGTTCTGCTACTTAAAAACCAAAAACCCATGACCTTTTTTGTTTCAGTTTCAAGCACATGTAAAGTACATGTTTTACAGACTATTCGCTGAATCTAAATTTTTTACTAAAAATGTTCTCAGCAAAACTTTTTTCCAGTAGTTATTTTTACTGGCATCCATATACTGTATACTACTAATATTTGTGGAAACAATCTGGGATCAATTTCAGATAAAATAAGTAAAACTTGTCAGTGAATGTCCCTAAGTAGAGTACTTAAAATCTCGTTTGCTGTTGAAAGATTGCATTTTATGCATTGTCACTGCCTTTTCTAACCAACATTTTTAAGCATATTCAAGCCCAGTCAACTGAGGAGAAACCATCTCTCCAAGATACTAATATTTTAGCTCTATTTCTTTCAGATTAGCCTGATTTTTCAACCTAATTATATACTACTGTTTCTTACTATTAATTTGAGAAGGAATTGTTTGTACCTTTAGTAGGACAAGGGGTTTTTTGTAATGGCTCTCCTCCTCTTCAAAGGATCCTTAACATAACATTCCCAAAGTCCCCCAGCTTAGGCCCCTGACTTTTCTCTCTCCTCACTCAGCTGGCCCAACATTTAGAAAAGACTGGAACAAAATGGACCAGACACATATGGGTGTGACATAATATGCTGCATCAGTTTATGATGAGGCCAGTCACAAACTTTTCAGTGTTTGAGCATTACTATGCCCTGGCTGGAGCTCTCAGAATGCAGCCCATTCCCATATCTGAGGGTAGGACAGTTGCACCACTGCACAATGAAACGTGTACTGTGTAATGGGAAAACTCAAACATTGCCTGAGTAGAGGAGAACAAGAGAGACTCTCTTATTGAGTAATGAGGACATCACAACAATCTCTCAATTTGCCAAGTATGTGTAGAAAGGTACATAGCTATTAGTGAGTCTTCTTCAGGCAGATTAATTTTTACCTCAGGATATTCTATTTCTGACACCTCATTATGAAGCTGAAGGCTGAAGTTGACTCTTCCAATGTGGGTCAAAACCTCAGATATATTCAAAAGGGACCACAAAAATCAGGCAGCATGTGTTCATAGGTATTTATTGAATAAGAGGGTCTGTATTTTTGTTTCAGAAGTTTTCTACTACTGCTTGCCAAAGCTGGAAGTAAGTATACCAGGTGAAGGACAGCTCTGTACTTATCCCAGACTTACTTTTCTCTCTGAGATCTTTTACCCGCTGCTCTTTGAAACAGGATACTGGTCTAGACAGCCTGTGATGTGACCTAGTGGCTGTTTTTAAGTTCTTTCTTTACATCTCAAGGAACATTACTGTAAATGTCTACAACTTTCCTTTGGTTTCCTCTACTATTTTTTTTAATGTAGTGTTCACTGAGTATTTAATTTTACTACAGCCATATGAAGCAAAAGTTTCTTTTAATGCAGCACCAATTTAGAGCATGCCTGCTGCTTACTTGGTCACTGAAGGAAGATGAAGTACAAATTTTCTTCTTGTGATTTTAAATCTCCTACCCACAGTTCCTCACAGTTCATCCCAGATGATCTACAGCAGATCTGATAAATGTCAGGCAACTGATAAATGTCCTCAAAAAAATCCAACATTTCCACTTTCTTTCTCATGTGTATCAGCTCTGCTGTAAGAAGTGACACCTGGTGAAGAGCTTAACTGAAATTGTCCACACTCTGAAGTGCAGGATGACTTCATCAGCATCCCCCCGCTGCCAGATTTTGGCATTAGAGTTCACTGCAAATTGCTTAAACTCCCCTTGACACCATTTCACATGCTAGCAACTTGATGAGCAGTTTTACCTGGTACAGGCTGGCAAGGTGGTGTTTTGTTTTAATCAAAAAGGGCTGGTTGACCCCTGGGTGATCCACGTCATGGGCCGCAGCAGCTAGCAGTCCCAGCATGATGTCCGACGGGGTGAGGAAGTTGGCAAGCTGAATCATCACACACATTAATCACAACATGAACAGTAAACACTTTTTCTTTTTTTGGCAAATAAACAAACCAGCTGGCGTTGCTTGGTTTTGTAGGCATTTGTATACAAATGTGAAATACAAAATAAATTTTGTGAACATTTTTAAGGTGACGGTTGAACAAACATCTTTAAAGATATTAGACTATATAATCATGTTTTATTATAGTTTGTATTTCTTATCTCTTTTATCATTCATGGCAATATATGGATTGTTGTCATAGAAGTGCTTAAGCATAGTCTAAAATATTCAGTTTAAAAAATTAAACAAGTATACTGGCAGGTTGGCTACACTAGCGTACATGGTGAGAGCTCTGCTTCACACAGTATTTAGTAATGACAACAATAGATTAGGTTTCATTTTTCTAGCATGGCACTGTTATAAAATGCAGAGTTCATCAGCTTTTGAAATTTCAAACTTGGCTGTTAGCTATTTCAGTTTAACTACAAGTATTTTGTTAGAGAATATAATTTACCTTTCTAATTTCAAACATCCAAGTTTGAAAACCTGTCCAGATTTTTTTCTGCTATAGATCTCATTTAGAAGCAAATTTTCTTATAATTGAAAGGAAATGAAAGGAAGTCTTAGCATTTTCTGTTTCTGACAGTGAAGCAGCTATTACCAGCCTGATGAGTCTGTACAGAGTACAGGTCTGTGAGATGAAAGAAGCATCCCAAGATGAGAACTGAAGAGCAGTAATGGTACAGGTTCTGGATGTTGGCTGTCCTCTGCAAGTCTTGACAGAAGGGACTTGCAGATCTTGCAGGAGATGAAAATACAGGAAAGCTGGGGCCTGCTTCTGTCCTCACTTACCATTACTATATTCTCGTGTAACAAACTGCTAGTTCTAGCAGAACATCCTTTCATTTAAGTCAAGCCAGGAAAGACTAGTCATGTTCTTATACTGTGGCTCAGCACTCCACTGTCACAGTGCCTTCCAGTAACATAGGTAATGTCACACCCTGATGCTGTGAGGACTTCCTGCAGCAGTCAAATGCTCCTGTTTACTTTTGCAGAAGACACCCTTGCACAACAGACCCATCTGAAGGGATTGTTTTGCCCTTTCCTGGTGTGGCACTGCCTAATCTGGTATTTTGAAATACTGATGAGAGGACCTTATGCCCTGAGGTGACTGAGGCACAGGCATGCATTGCCTTCTGCTGAGTTTCATGGGAGAAGAACTGCAGCCACTGCTGGGTGGCTGGTACACACCATCATGGTGGATGGAGCTCATATGACAGCATTTAGACACATTGCCTGCATGATGAGAAGTGACTCCAGTAGCATGATTAAAATGTCTGTAATCTGTAGCTGACACTGCTCCTGACTTGTTGGTGACTTCCAGCACGCAATCAATTTTCGCTATCTAAAAACATCTTTTTATTTCAATCCTGGGAAAAAAATCTGAGAATTATCTGAAAGCAACACCAGTGTGAAAGGTTGTCATTACCTTGGGCTCTCTCAGATAGCAGTGCATAGCTTGTGTGACATCAGCAGCATGGACAGCATTGTGGTATGGGTTTTGGCTATGGTAATCTTCTTGAACCATAACTGGGAATCAAAACAGAAAACAAAGATTCTTTTGTCTCTGAATGCCATGGCCACAAGTGGGAACTGGACTTAAAATACAATCTGAGGTTTTGCAGTCAGCTGTCTAAGGACTTTTTTCAAATTGCTGTAGTTTATTTAGATTGCTGCTCTTTTTGGGACACCTTTATAGAAAAAACGCATGAAAGGATTTGTGAGGCCTGAGGGCATAGAGTGGGTATAGTGCATAAATCAACTCTTTCTTGCCTTAGTGAAGGCTCTCATTCAGGAGTAAAATAAACAAGGAAGAGAGGCAAATTTATCCACAACAGCGTGTAATTATTTAGGCTGCTGCCATAGGGTACCAGTGTGCCATTAAGACAGTACCACCTATTTTACAGCAGCAAGTAGTAAGGCCCTGATATCCTGGTATCATTTGTTATTTGAGTGATGAACTACAGCCAAAGGTATTTCTACACCCCCCACGCATAGAATCAAAAGATAAAGCATTGGGGTATCCACAGCAAAATCTCCTGTGATAATTTTAGTCACATCTATGTGTTCATTTTAAAATACCAGTCCTTCTTGCTTTAGTTTACAGTGCTGGAACTGGTCCAGCTGGATCAGGAGCACCAACCTATTAACTCTCAGCTTTCACTTGCACAGAAAATCATTGAGGTGTGTGCTTCACACCCATTTGTTCCTTGCAGCAGTGCCTGCACCACTAGGTGGTCTTGGGACACCACCATGTGAACACTGGAAGCTGCATGTGATCTTGCCCAAAACACTCTCCTAGACAGTATCAAATCAATCAAACAGAAAGGTAACAGGCAGATTTCCCATGGCACTCGTTGCCAGCACAGGGAACGCCAAAGAAAGTCCTAGCCTTCTGTTTTTTTCCAACTTCACAAGCATCGTGAGGTACAGTGGGTAATCCTTTGAACTCTGAGTACCACTAGTTCTAATGACTCAAGTGTCCACTTCATGGCTGCCCACAGGAATTAGAAACAGCAGGGATATTTTGTCTCTCCATACCAGAGGAATGCTTTCCAGAAGCAACAATTAGGCACTCTTAAAGAAGAGACCCTGACTTGGAAACTCCTCCTGACAGCCTAACAAACTGGCATTCAGCTGCATTCAAAACATGATACAAAAAGTAATTGATTTTGGCCAATTTCTTCTTTTAGTTCACTGACAGCATGGGGCTAATATCTGTGTTGGCAGTAACAGCAGCAGGGGCTTTCATCAACACTATTCAGTGCAGACAGCTTGATATAATTTGTTAAATTCTGCATATAAGCTTTTAACTGCTCTGGGTCTCAGTGGTCTGTTAGTCACTAAAATAATTATACTACACCACAATCGTACTGAGCACGTTTAGGTTCTGCAGTGTCTGTCTGTTTGTCTGTGTGGGCCTACAGCTTGGCCATATGTCTGCATGGAATAGTTTATGTGAAATCACCAGAACGATTGTGGTACTGGGATGCTTCAGCCCAATGCAGAGCCTTTTGAAGTCCCTCCATTGACTAGGTACTGAACCAAGTACCTGAGTGTCTGTAAACTGTATGCCAACATATATCATAGAAATGCTTTACTGAAATATTTGCAACAACAGCATGATTTTTATGTAGATACACAGACCAAGCCAGTGCCTTCTCTGATGCTCTACTTAAGCTGCAAACTTCATTCAACAATGGCTTTGAGGTGAGCACTTACCTAAAAACCTGTGTAATGTAACCATGTCTAACTGGAAATGGTGAATAAGTCCATGCACATTGAAGAGGTGACAAAGCAGTGTTACGAGACTGTTTCCTAAAAGCAGAAAGGAACAATTCTTAGATTCCCTTAACAGGAGTTACAAAATAAGCAAGACTAAAAATCGTCGTCATTTCCTATTAATCAGATCCTATCACCTTAGGTCGTATCATATGAGCTTAGATGACACTCATATACTCACAAGTCACTTACATAAAGTACTCCTATATAAAATCAAGAGTTGATGGCACAGCTGTACCAATGGAGTACCGTTATTGCATCTAGCTGCCATGAAGTCACTTTTGTGTTTTCAACATGACACAGGCAAACTGTGGTTTTAACTGGAAGAAGGTAAACTGATATGGTTTGAACTGGAAGTCTTATGACAGGCTTGTCTGTGAATGACATCATCTTCATAATTCAGGTCTACCTCCAGAAACAGCAGAAAGGAGAATGGCTTTTCTGCCACTTTGGTTTGTCATACTGTACTAATTAATTAATTACTAAAAAGTAGCAGTTTGTAATTAAATTTTTTATTTTATGCATGGCTGTAGAAACATGTAATTAGCCCATGTACCTAGCTCAGCTACAGCTGCATCTCATAATGATGACACAGACAAGAAAAATGAGTTGCAGCACTCACAGTCTCAAGTCCCACTGTAATGTTACACTGGCCTTACTGTAAATCCATGTATTGGGTCTGGCTGAACTGGAGTTCATTTCCCCACAATAGTCCTCAAAGTGCTGTGCTTTGCATTGGTAGCTAGAAGGGTGTTGGTAACACAACAGTGTTTTGGCTACCGCTGAACACAGTATCAGCACTGTAACATTCCTTCCTCAAATGAGGGTAAGATCCTGGGAGGGGACCCAAGTAGGTCAACTGACCCAAACTGACCAAAGGGATATTCCAGACCATGTGACGTCAGCTCAGATATAAGAGCTAAGGCACAGAGCAAGAGGGTGGCCACTCATTGTCTCCAGTGGCTGCCTGCTGAGAAACTGTCACACGTGCTGAAGCCCTGCTTCTTGGGAGTGGCCGACCACCACTGTTGATGGGAAGTAGAGAATAAACCCTTCTATCTTTTGCTTCGCTTCACTTTTCTGCGCGTAAGCTTCCACTTTACTTTTTGCTTTAAATAAACTGCCTTATCCCAACCCACAAGTTGTTTTTTCCACCTTACTCTCTCCCCTGTCCAGCTGGGGAGTGACAGAGCAGCTGGGTGGGCAGCTGGTGTCCAGCCAAGGTCAACCCACCACAATCCAATACTGGGAACACTGGCAAAATTGAGCCTAACTAGTATTACATGATCAACTATACATATACACAATATTTTAAAAAGTTTGCACTGCTTAATTCAGCAGCAGTGTTTCCAGAAAAGTTAGGAAAAACACCCCAGACAAACCAAGCCCATATTACATATAAGCTATATTTGAAGGGAGTCTTTCCTTATTTCAAATAACTCCAGAAAGAAAATAAATATATGAACAAAAAGGACATGAAAACTTATTTGGCCCTAACTACCAAGCAGGGGCAAAGAAAGATAAGGAAATACGTCACAGGCATATGTTACAGGCATTTAGGGAAAACATTTCACATATTTTTACTGTCTTAATAAATTTCCTAATTTTTGCTGCTGAACAGAAGCAAGGGTATGTTTACTTAAAGGTCTTTTGTCTCAAGAGAAATTGACTGATTATGGTGATCTGGAATTATTGACCAATGTATCTAACAGGTATATTTAAAGTAGCTTGGCAATTTCCCAGGAAAGGGAAACAGAAATACCTTCTTGAAGAGGTGACCACAACAAATGTAGGAGGTTAGATTAATACAAAAGGACACTTTAAACATTACCCTATAGTTCAGTAAAAGCCTGATAAAATTCCAGGATATGATTTTAAGAGAAGTTAAAAATGGCAAATTTATCTTCGGTTACCTAAACTGGAAACGTTTAGCAAATAATTAATTAGGGATTTCTTGAATAGTCATATACGAGCAATATTAAAGACTTAAAAAGAATTACTTACCATTTGTCAAGCGGTCAAACAAGAAAATGTCAAAATCCCACATTCCCACTTTGGATAGCATATGCTGGAAAAAACAAATATGAAAAGGGAAATGACTGGTGTGTCAAACTGTAAAGCAGATTTTAATTATTATTCCATGTTAATCAATCAAAAGGTTCTTCACCCAGAGAGTGGTTGGGCACTGGAACAGGCTCCCCAGGGAAGTGCTCACAGCACCAAGCCTGACAGAGTTCAAGAAGCTTTTGGATGACACTCTCATGTCCATGGTGTGACTCTTGGGGATGGTCCTGTGCAGGGCCAGGAGTTGAACTCAATAATCCCTTTTGTGGGTCCCTTCCAACTCATCACATTCTGAGATTCTGTTAAGTTTTATTCAGGAAAGCTATAGAGGTGTACTTGAAATATCAAACATCAGGCACCAAATGTAGCTGTACTGCATAAAATATCACTTTCACTTTTAACTGAGGAGGTTTTGAACTCAATACTAAAAATGTCTTCTAGATGGAGCTCAAAACAAGGAATAATATAAACCAAAAATAATGAAAATATTCCCTTTTACTACACAAATTCTTTATTGTTCTTTCATGTCCCCAAAATCAGTGTAAATTTACTTAGGTTTTTAATACAATGTATTAAAATCTTAGCTCTCATGGTGAATATGAGTTACAATTTGCTAAACAAACCAATAAGCAGGAATAGTTTTTATAAACTTACAGCGCTACTGTGAAGCCCACTCGGACATGCAGAAGAATCCATCATTACCACCATATACAGTGTTTTTACAGCTACATCAGTTCAGTTAAGAGACTGAGTCTGGACTAGCTGTATGACCTACAATGGCATATGTGTGAATGAAATATGCATTCACTCCCATCTCTTAGTTTATATTCAAACTCATTCTGGATTCTTCATTACTTTCCAACACCTCCCAGAGAACAGAAACTGCCTAGGCACATAATCCCAATGCCATCAGTTGTGCAAGTTCGTTAGAAAATACCATTCAAAGTGAGTATAAGAGCTGGAAAGTAATATAATTATATTTTGATCATTGTGAAGTTCTTTGCAGTGAATGTTCCGTTTCCTAGTCTTTGCCATTATGGAGGACTATTGTGGGTTGCCTAACAGGTTCCATACCAGCTGAGAGACATCTGGTTTTTTTCAAGTGGATGAATTAAATCCTGTGTCACGGCTGCACTTACTTAAATCAGTAACTTAGCCAGAGATCCTTCCATCCTTTAATAAATCCAGATTATAATTTCGGTTGTTGGAATCTGAAATGCTGAATACATTTAGACATTTTCTGGTTGCTTTGAGACCTGAGCCTTTAAAGCTGTAGCCATAAAAGAGGAATGGACAGTCTGTTTGCTGTGAGATGGGCATGTAATGTGGGTCATTTAAGAAAGATCACCCAAAAATTTGTTTATCCGATGACTGAAACAAAATTGACACTCTCTGTAATATTATTAAAGGAAATGGAGATCTGGAGACCTGTCTTACCCTTGCTTGCCCAAGGTAGTCCTCATCCAGTAGGTACAGAGAGGCTTGTGGTACAATTCCACGCAGTAACCTGGATGCATGGAAATACCTCTGGAAACTTAACAGTCTTTTCACTTTTTTCTTGGTGCCGATTTCCCCTGAGACTGTAGTATCTGTGGAAAGCAATCAGTATAGAAACCATGAAAACCAAGATGATGGATGACTTTAGCAATTATTTAATAAGAGAAATATCAAAACCTTTAAAATAGTGATAAAATAATCATAAGGTTTACGCTTCTTGCTGATCCACATGAAGGAGCAGTATTCAAATCACTGTACTTCAACATAATACATTTGTTTATTTGAGAAAGAAGGTACGTTCCAATAAAAAGAGTGCTAATGTAGCTCTTGGAAGATCTGAGTTTAGTACACTGCCTGCCACAGAATTCCACGTGATCCAAGCTAAGTCACTGGGTGGGCTGGGGAGGGTGTGATATATCACCTTAACTGTAGATGACTAGAGGAAGCCTAAATGACTAGGCAGAGTTAGGTACAGGAAAGTTGCACCTACTGTTCTGTGCCTGTTCCCTAGCTACACAATTGAAAATAACATTACCTCACAGAAGTGTCATTGGAATATATTACAAATTGCACAGCACTAGTAGATAAGGTCATCCTGGGTATAAAAACAAAAAAGTGACACCAAAAGAGACCTCAAAATACAGTTTGAAAACATAAATGTGTGCCCACTTTTGGAAAATGATACAAAAGAGAGAAAGAAGCAAGAATAGTTTAACAGTCCTATTGTATTGTCTGCTGTCCTTCCTACATATTAAGGCAAATCATAAATGAAGAAAATATTTTAGTTCTGCAATTAGGAAAGCAGGTATATTCAGAAAATACAAGTAATTCTGGTTACAAAACAGAATATGTTGTTTTCACTCAGTACCAGGATAATTCTAATTCCCTAATTCTGTATTAAGAGATTTTCATATAGGGCTAAATGTGACACAAAAACCAAGGCAGTTTTTATACAGTGATTAAATCACTAATTAGAGAAATTAAATTACCTTATTGTTAGCAAGAAAAATATGTAGGTTTTCTAAAACTCATAATGATTTAGGTAATTTCATCTGAATTTTTAACAGAAGCTCACATACAGTAATGGTGTTTTCCTTTTGACAATCTGGTGTAAGTTTCGGAAAAAGGGAGGACAGAAACTTCAACAACTGGTCAAAGGTCAATACAGTTTTATTTGTAAGACAAACCTGTAGGAAACCAAAAATTAAACACTCCTTTGAGAGAATAGTAATGATTTCTTGAGATAAGAAGCTCCATAGCAATTCACTGGATTCCAGGCTTAAACAAGAGATCATAAAAAATATCCATGAACTGAAGATGACTCTCTCTATTCTCTATTTTTCCATCTCCTCTCATGAAAAAACCCTGAATATTTGTTCTACTGTGAAATTAAAATATCACTTTATCTGCTGTTTTTACAACTACTGTTATTCTGAGAGGATTTTCAGAGAAGTAGTTAAGGTTTTTTTTGACCATTGATGGTTCAGCATTTGATTTGTCATACAGCAGATGTGCGAGCACATTCTGTAGCAAGTTTCTTCCTTATTAAGTAACCCAACAGCTATTGAGTGACACAAAGTCAGTAACATCAATAGAAAACATCTTTACATATTGAGTATCAATATAATTTCCATCAGTAAGTCTCATGGTTCTCATGGGCAGTCCAAAGACCCCACTGAGTTTTAACAATATAAAAGCACAAAATAATTTTATTGCAACTTGACAAGCCATGTGTTTTCCAGAATGCAAACAGTAACAATGCCACTACTGTACCAGCCTGAAGGTTAGGCTGTCATTTATGATGTGTCAGCACCTGCCTTAATTCTCTCACACGTTTTAAAAGCTGGAACGATTTCATGGCCCATTGAAGGAGTGACTAATGTAGGTGTGAACAGTTACCCAGTGGCAGTGACGTGTAGAGGAACCAGTAGACTTGGTTTTGTATTTCTTTTTACTTATACAGAGCTGCTATGAAATGGCTAGCATTTAGTTTAACTCCTGGACAACAAAGCACTCTTAAATTAAATTCATTTTTTAAACTTGTGTTAGCTGTTTCTCAACTTTCTAACTTTCATATATCCATCTTTGCCCCCAAATGGTCACTACTTTCAGGTAATAAGTTTAAATTTTTAAGTCCAAAAAACTTTACTTTTGTACATTGAAAATTAGTAGTTACTCCCACCAACTTTTATCTAAGTTAATTACTGAAATCATCACCTACACTCTCATAAACTGTCTTTAACTCGTACATATGGTTGCTGTGGATGATCTGAAGGTGGAGGTTTGGCCCAAGTCCCAACAAGGAGTTGTATGCTGGATTATGAAGAAGTGGTTGTTTTATCCTTTGGATTACCAGATCATTTTAGTAGCACAAATAATACTTGCCATAGCACAGACACATCAGGTGGAAACAAAGAACTTCTTATTATGAAACATATTTTCTGAATTTAACCATCAACCTTGCTACACATTGCTCTCAATTCAAATGTAGTCATCAGCAGACAGGTGCCTCTGAAACATGACTTGATGCTTCAGCTGAGCACTGTATTATGTAAAAAAGATTACCCACAATAATGTGTTGCTCTGTATTTTCATTCATAAGGGAAGAAGTTCATAATACCAATAAAGAATAGTAGAAAATGTATTTTCAAAACTGGGCTCTTGACAGAACAGCTTGAATCCCTCACTCCAGGCTATCCACATGCAAACTCTGGATGTTGACTTAAAAGAATATCATGTTCAAATCACATTCTTTGGGTCATTTCAGTAATAATCGATTTGTCTATGAATCACAGGACTAATCAGATGATTGCTATGACCCATGATAGATTACTTTGACATCCACATTAATGTACAGGTAATACCTTATTATGATGGTGTCTTGCATAAAACTGGACTAAAACCCTGCCCCTCTGAGCACAGCACACCTCAAACTAGTATAATCTCATCAGCATTTTCTCTTTCTCCTCCCAAGATCAGTGTCTAACAAAAAAGAAAAGCACAACCATATGAAATGGAGGCTGATTAAAAAAGAAGAGCAAAAGGCAAAACAGCCAAGAGCAAACAGTTAAATTCTGCCCTCAGCTCAGCAGTTGCACCTGAATCCCCCAGATGGGATCCACCAGCTGACACAAAAATCAAAATACAGTTTTAAGACGAAATTAAGGGTTTATATGAATGACTTTACAGTAACACACTGAACATATTACTTTATTGACAACTGTAAATTTCAGTTTAAATCATAAATATAAAATTTTGATGTTGACAAGTTATGATACGAGTCATACAGTGCCTCTAGGTTAAATTGTATTACAAAGTAAATGAACCAAAAGTACCACTGCAGATATCCCTGAACTTCAACTATGAAACTATGGGTACTGAAACATAGGCTATAGTATCTAGTTGCAAAGCTCACAGTGGAAGGATTTAGTAATTAAGTGCAATTTTGAAATGAACGTGAAAGACAAGCAAGAATGTCTTTTGTTTATACCCATAAAACTTCCCTTGAGAACTGTGTTTATCTCTAATCGTTGTAGCAACTTCTGAATGTTTTGTTTACCTAAAAAAACCTCCATTATCTGTATCTCTTAAAAGATGCCCATTCTCATATGCTGTGGAGTTACTGCCTAGCACAGGGGTTGGAGAAACTCTTCTTTGTATACTGAACAAAACTGTTGTGTGAATTACACAGACATCTTGTATGAATTACACAGATGTTTATAGAACTGTTTGTACAAGCATTTTTCACAAAATTCAACTTCTACCTTCAAAAGCCCAGGCAGCCTGAGCTCACAGTGTATCTCCTGATGTGTTTTAGCAGGCAACAGAAGTGGTTGCATTTTATTTTGAGTAATTTGATAGACACATCACGTTTATGCACAGCAGCAGACCATGGATGATGCCTGCATACTGCCCATGGCCCTCAAGAGGTTAATAAGCTACAGGAATCAATGGTTGCCTCTTCTCTCCTAACACAGTTCCTCCACTTACACAGATCTTCTCGCCTTAAAATGATCTACAGCTCACTACACACCAACCTCTGTTATTTCAGGGAAATAAGTTTCCTGCACTGGGAACTGCTACCAGTTTTCTTTCACATTTCTTTCATGCTGATGCACTAGTGCGTGCCCATGGGCAGCATGAATATAAAAATGACAGACGTTATGTTAACAATGGTGGAGTTAACATCCAGAAGTGATCACATAAATCAAATCTGGACAAGGATGTACTTAACTCTGCACCAGATATACATTACATTGTTACTGTTCTTTCAAAGCAAACAAACTTGGTTATGCATTTAAATAAAGCCTCTGAGTTTTACTTCACGGTATTGCCTTTTTTTTACTTTATTGCATCTCAGTGTACAATATGACTGGACAACAAAAGGTTTATTAATTTTCAAAAGCGAACTGATTCAGAAAGTGTTTTTTTCTCTTCTTTCCAAAAGGATGCAGAATAAATCAGGTCCTCAGGAAGCTGCCTTTGGCTCATACAATTTATAATACCTTTTCCCAGGATGCAAAGGCATTCCATGCACAGCCACTGTATGCCTGAAGAGTCAGGCAGGATTGGTAGAAAAGTACTGAAAATACCTGGAAGATAAGGTGAGAGGATGAGTCTTGGAATTTAAGGTCCAGACAGTTTGCAAACAGTGAGGACTCTGGGAAACAGTTTGTCTCTGGTCCTATACATTATGGAGATAATTTTCTGCATTGGTTCCTGGCTTGACAGCTGGTAAGACAGCTTTCCTTTAAGAGCCCAAGAGATGTGTAATTGACTTAGGAGGAATAATTGGTGTTTGTCTGGTTTTTTGTATGTAAAACCATGCCATTCATTTAGATCACCTGTACTGAAGTCTTGTTTGGCATATTCATTGCATGCTGGGTTGATGAATTTTTCTTATAAAGAAGAGTGCTTAGCACTGATGGTAGAAAAGAGTTGTTGTGCCTTCCTAATATCTTTTTAACATTATGGATTTATCATACTATCCAAAAGACAACAGCAGCATTACTAGGGGTAGCTGTACACAGGTACCTTACCGAGGTAATCTAAAAATTAATGACAAACTTAATATTTTAAATTTGAATTCTGG